ACCTGGAGAAAGGCAGGGATGTGTTTTCCAGRCTACAGGGATGACTCCTGTGGAASCTCCTCCAAGGTGTAAAGTGCACAYCCCACCAAGGGGACAGTCYCCAAACAGCTGSTTCCATCACTGATCCGTAGGCACAGGAAAATGGTTTATTTGGGACTTTCTTCTCCATCTCCCAGAGGTGCAGGCCAGGTCCTGCATGCAGAGCACTTAGCAGAGCTGAAACTGTGGTGCAGKGGGATTAATCTTTCCTGTCCCTGTGTGCAAAGAGCGCTCACAGATTTGGAGATGTGCGGGAGGGACCTGGGGAGAGTGTGCTGAGCAAGCCCAGCAAGCCTGGGGCAGATGAGGGGTTTGTACCCATCAGGTGCTTTTCCTCCCACTCTGCCTTTTGGGATTTGACCTTCAAGTCCAATCATCCTTGATGRTCAGCAGAACAGCTGCAGGTACTTGCAGTTGCTTCCTCTCTGCCCTTTCCATCAGGAGTGTGCTCCACAGAGCTCAGCTGTCAAATCCCAGGGAAAACATCTCTCTCCAATTACTTTCCWTCTAGTAGCAGCTCTTTGTCGATCTTCCTAGTACCGAGTCTTCTTTGGCAATGTGCACATGGGGTTTATGAAAATAGGCTGAAAGGGTGTGAGTGTGATCAGCCTGGTTGGATGGGACACCATGAGCCTGACCTGCAGCACGCAGCGCTTACCATACCCTGAGGCCTGAAGGTCTGCGAGGGTTCTCTCTCTCAAGTGGGTTTTTTTGGGGATGATGTGAGCAGCAGAGTTCAGCTCTGGCTCTGAACTCCCCCAAGCCACGTGGATTTCGTTTGGTATGCTCCTCTTCACCCTTCCTTCCTCACTTTACCAGCTAAATTCAGACAAGGTGTCCATATGCATAAGAGCTGTCAGAAGAAGGAGCTAGAAAAGTCTTGAAGTGTAAAGCTGGCAGCCCTGGAAGACCTGCGGGGACTATCCAATCCATCTGGTGCTCCAGGGCACAGAGCAAACAGGCTTTTGACTAGTTCACAAGCACAGCATATGCAAAAAGCTCAATTATTGCTTCTTAAAAAGCCCAAATTATCTCCTRGAGTCGGAGACTGACAGCCACACGGTCTCCACAGCGCTCTGCGTGACTGAATTTCTGCTGCCTTATTCTCTGCTGCTCTGTGCTGCCTGTAATTGCATTGCATTTTAACTGTTTAGCATCGTCAGAACTCCAGCCCCGRGGGCAGTGGAGGTGCTGAGAGCTCAATACATCAAATTACTACCCAAAGAGCAAGCAGACAAAAAGCAGAGCGGGGAGGGAGGGAAACAGATAAATGAGCCACATTCATTAGGAAAAAACAGCRGCCCTGACCAGGGAAGCGTCCTACTGATGTAATGAGAAAGGTGAAAGCTGTTAAAAATAATAAAGAACACAGTAACACAGCCGCTTTTCTATCAGAAAGCGCCAAATCTGGAGAAAATAAATGCTCTGCGGAGAGCAGAGATGAAAACCGATGTAATGCTCCTTGCCCACATAGCCCTTTCATGCTTCCCAGTTTTATTTAGTAGGGTTTCTTTGTGGTGTTGAGTTCTGTAGCTGCACTGTTTCATGCTGTTCTCTGGAGTGCTGTGATGTGGCCCCAAAAGCTGGCATCTCCACCACAGAAGCCCGGCTGTGCAAAGCACTGAGACACTTTCCCACAAGCAGGTTTGTGTTTCACCCTTGTCCAGCCAGAGGTCCTGACTTCTGCTCTTCTCTTTTCCCTAAAATAATGCTGCATGTTCAGATCCCCAGGGCAGGTTTTGAAGGAAAGAGTTGTTTGCAGTCTGTCCCTCAGCACAGGGAACAACAGCAGTGGTGGGGTAGGGACAAAAGCCGGGGAGGAGGACAAATAGGGCAGAAAGTGCATCTTTTCTTCTCATCTGGAAGATCTTCCTGTGAGGACAAAAAGGAGTGGATGAAAAATATGGATCATGTGCTGTTGGCAGAAAAAATGAATTTTGCTCTTGGTGGGGCTGCTCGGCTGAGACACCTCAGTAGATTTGACTTCAGATTAAGTGACAAAGCTTTGTGCAGCTCAACACCCCTAAATCACAAGACATTGTTCCAGGGGACAGGCCTGTGGCACCACACAGTGGCCTCAGTGTGACAGCCATGGAATGAAGRGTCACCTGTGGGTGCCTGAAGAACAGCCCAGAGCTGCCCACCATGGCACGGTGTCCCCATGGCACAGCAGGACATGCTGGGTGTCCCTTGGGGGCCACCAGCAGGTGTCTTGTGGGTCTATGTCCTGCCTCCCTGCAAAACCGTGGGATGAAAAGGTCCAAAAATGATTTGGGCAGCCTGATAGGGAAGTGCCTCTGCTGTGGCTCTGCACACAGGGAATGCAGGAGGGATGTGAGGGAGCTGAGGAGATGCTTCAGCTCTCTGTGCTGAAAATGTTGAGGGTATTGACGTTYCATGTCAGCTGCATTCACCAGGGTTAATTAAAGTCTGTGTTTTATGGATTGCCCTTGGCCACAAACGGAAAAKCTGCCTCAATTGGAAATCAATAGAGTAATCTTTAAGCTCTTTTATTTTATTAGATATGGAGTTCTAATTTGAAGAAATTGAGGAGCCATAATGAATGGTGCCAGAGAAGTCCTGAGACGTACGCTTAAAGCTTCCTGAGGAGAGTGCTTGGCTGTAGGCAGTGTCCTGGAGGGACATTCCAGCATGCTGGAATGCTCTGGTGAGTGAGCTCCTGGAATGCTCTGGTGAGTGAGCTCCTGGGAGCACTGCAGAAATCCAGCAGCAAATCAATCAACAGCCAGCACTCTGCCCTGAAATTGGAGGGAAGGCTGTGAAGGCAGTGCTGAGATCACAGGGCACAGCAGAAAAGCCAAATCCTGRGCTCCTGGCAGCCAAGGAGTGTCACCAATGCTGCCAGTGTCCTGCTCATCCCAARCCAGCAAGACTGMTGTGCTTTATGCCTTTCTCTAAGGYTTCTGTGCACTGGTGTGCAGTGAAATGGTTCACCCCTCTTCACTGGGGTGCAGTCATTCCAAAACCACAGACACTTTTYGGGGTTTTGGAAGGTGAAGTGGCCTGATGGTGCTGCTGCTTTTCTTGCCGGCAGGCTGTACAACTCTCCCACAACAAACMGGCCAAGGAATATTTTTCATTTAAACAGTTTTCTGAGCTGTGCCTGTAAAATAATTCTGTCCACAGACAATGGAGTGCCAAGGGCCAGGATGATTCCCATGATCCAATAACAGAATAAACCCCAAAAGAGTGGTCCATTCATGAGCAGTCAAACATGAGGTCCTTGGCCAAACATGGGAGAATAAAAATGTAATTACTTAAAAGGCTGCTAAGCTGCTTGTGCTTGAAGAGCACCTAATGCCTACCTTTTCAGCATCTACCTTTTAGAAATAATTATTTTCAACTTTTCTATGCTGCTTTTCTCATTTCTAAACCTTTTYCCTGTAAATAATTATGAAAGCATTTTTCTATCTGTGAGTCCAATAAGTTACTTCATACAGCATCTTAGAGCAGAAAGCTAATAGTCAATACACTGTGCCACACCTTTATTTTGGTGTTTGGTTGGTTTTGTTCTTCAGTGTCCATTTGTCTTGTTTGGGACTGGGTTCAAAATCCCAACTTGCTGCAACTGGTCACTCCCAAAATATTGCAATCTTTTTACTGCACAGGCTTAGACTCCGGGAAGAGCTCAGGGAGACTTCTGTGCTTGAAGATAGGGACTCACCTTCCCAAGCTGAGCAGTGCTGGAAACACTTTCTCCTGGCAAACCTGAGCCCTGCACTCTTTCCTGGCAGTGACTACTGACACCCTGAAGTCTTCGCCAGCCAATTATGTTCCTTAGTCTTGGATTGTAACATGTAGATCAGAATCATTTACTCGATCTACAAACTTATTAAACAAGTAATTTACGAGCTGAACTAATTTTTAAGCAGATCCAGTTCAATTCATTTCTGTGGGCATGTTCATTCCACAGTGAAGTGGATGTCATTCACATCATTAGCAAGTGAGGACACAGAAGCTGAAGACCACTTAATTTAGATGGGACTGTCCCCAGAAGATTTGGTCAAATTTTAGTGAAAAGACTTTTACAAATGCAGATCCATTTTCCTAGTATTCTCATACAGACAAACCTCACAGTGGAGGACCAGCTTTACCTTTTGGGTTTGTTTTTTTTTCTTTTTKCCATACTAGTGACTAGAAAAACTCTAGTGGCTCTTTTAGACACATATTACAGTGGAGCTGTTGAGCCAGACAACCTGAATTGATTTTTCATTTCTTTCTCATCTACCTGAGCCATTGCATGTAATTTCTTTAAATACTGAGTTTACTCTGCAGACTGTTCATCACCTCCCATTAAAGTCAGTTCCAGTACCTCCAGCTCTGCAGAAGAAAAGTACCCAAATATTCTTCCAAATCCTTTTTGGCTTTACAGATATCCTTCAAACAATTCTGTCTTCATACAAACATCAATTCCCTCTGATTCTTAACAAGAATGGAAGYTCCTGTGTCTCCCTTTACCATGATTTTTGTCATTTCAGGGATTAAGAGGATCTCAAGTTCTTTATTTCTGCTCTCCACTAAACTCACCTTTTTTACTTCATGCACACTCAACACAAGCCAGTCCTTTTAAGAGMTGTTTCCCAGCCTTCTGATGAATGTTTGGTTGCCTGCCGTGCCCCTTATCATGAAGAGCCCAAACATTTTCCCTGTTGTGGCGTTTTTCACTTTTCCAGTATCAAGATTTGCAGAGAGCCCTGCCCTCTCCCCATCACCAGCTGTAACAAGGAGGAGTTTCCCCTTGCCACCTCCAGCACTCCTTCTGCAAGGTTTGATGGAGCCCCTGCCACCACCACGCCCAGAATATCCAATATCTCCTCTCCAGKCTTGTTGCAAAGGGCTCAGCTCATTCTGGGACACAGGAATGCAGAATAATGGACAATATTGTGCTAGACATGGGTAATGGATTGCATTTCTGCAAACAAAAAAAAACAGCTACTTAATAAAGATAATAAATTTTAATAGGCAGTAATTTTCTTTTTCTTGACACAACATGGTAGTTTCTGAACAGATTTTGCACAAAAACACAAACATATTTCACAATCTTTCTCCACTTTTTTTCTACTGTCCTTTCACTATGGTACAACATACTACAAAATACTTTGAGTTTTTAATCAACATGAAAATCCACAATGACTTTTTTTTTGAAGGAAACCTTCATCAGTCAGGAACCAGAATAGTTGCAGATGTCAAATAGTGTATTTTAGATGGTCTGACCTTTCAAAAGCAGGCATCCAAGACTTCTCTGCTCCTGAGGAACACAAGTGACCCAGRAATACCTGAATGAACCACCTAAGTTCAGCTGCAGCACGGACACAACTTGTTCCCCATCTTTTATGGAGCTTCATCAAAAGTCTCTCAGGGTGCTATTAAGTCAGAAGGGTATCAGACCCACCAAAGTGGAAGCAAGAGCAATGGCCAAGCACAGGGAAAGGAACACTTTTCAGATTTGTCTATGGACATGAGCTAAATAATCTGCTCAATCTCTTACCGCAGGGCCAGGCAACTTTTAGTATTTCAGAGAAGGGAGCTTCCTCAAAAACATGGTATCAATAGGTATCAAAACTTAGATGCTTGTCCTGGATCTTGGCCCTGCATTTAAACCACCAGTTGTCTTCTTTCCCTTCCCCAATAAAACAGTGGAAGTTCTTGGAATGCTACCAGTCAGTGGATTGAGACTGAGCAGATGCTCACAGCAATTTAATTTTCAAACATTCATAGTTCTAGAAAGATAGGGTACATGCAGGTAGAAGCACTACTTGGTATTTTGGAACTGCCAGCCCTGTACAAATGAAGAGTGTCTGTAATCAGCACTTGAAACACTCTCTAAACTTCCAGAGTTGTTCAATAACCCACAGGAATCCCATGCATTACTCAGAACACAGGGAAGAAAGTTCATCTGTGAAATTGCTTACCTTGCTGATTCCCACTGTGTGCCCCAGGCTGTGTGGGAGTCGTATTTGTAGCACACATAATGCAGTTACCCAAGGAACAGGTGAAAACCAACACTTTCCTGCTACTTTACAAGCATTATATTCAGTAATTTACAGAATTTCAAAGAGCCTCAGTGCTATATTCCTTCCTTCACAGAAAAAAAAGCACACACTTCAGCTTCTCAGCCAGGCATCCCACCCTGTAAACATTTATGACAAGCAAAGCATGTGCTAGAGTGAGGAGTCTCATGTAAATCACTGAATTAATTTTCATAGTGGCTCTTTGCCCAGGCCTGTTTCAAGGGTCAGGYCCTGTTTGTGTTTTGCTACATACAATTAAAAGATTCCTAGCTACCACAAGTTCAACAAAGTATGCTGACTTACAATTCCTTCCTGTGTGTGCAGGAAACATTTTTAAGAGCTACTATGCAAACATCACCTAATTTTTACATTATGTTCACCCTTCTTGTTTTTACATTCTCTTCAACCTTGTTTCCYTGCTTTTACTATATGTGAAAATAATAAATACATATGATATACCAGTTATTAAGCCTTCAAAAAAATTRCATGTCATTCCAGGAGGGACAGGAGATGGTTGAGATTTAGAAGTCAGAACCTGGTCATTAACGCAAATGTCTTGATGGTAAAAAGCTTCAGCTACTCCACATTTCCCGTTGAAATGCAACTTTGCTGGGATGTTCCTGAATGTTGTGATAAAACAGGCTGCTTCACATCTGAAATGACAACAGTATCTCAAGATTATTATTCCACATAAGGTTGTTCAGGAACATAACAGGAAATCTAAAATGGAAGACACAGTATAAATTCAATATGGGATAGAAAATAAGGATTAAATTAATTTTCCAGACCATTGTCCTGCACCCACACAAATTGAACCACCTCTGGGTTTTTGGTAATGCAGGCAAAACTGCATTCTGCTGCTCTAATTCAAGCAAAAAAGGAGATAATTTTGTCCTTATTATTGACATCAGGAATGCTCGGTTTCTACATCCTGAGGGAAATCAGAATGGGTCAAAACCATCAAAGATGTCCTTGACACTTCTGGTCAGCCAGGTATTTCTCAGTGGAGGGTGATGGGACCCATTCCAGAGGGGTTTCATTCCACAGTGCTGCTGGGCTTGGCCAGAGCCTCCATCAGCTCTGTCACATGCATGCTGTGACACCCAGTTCCTCAGGCCACCCTTGTCCCCTAGCTCCCTGCCCTAYCCTGGTCACACAGGGTCCTTCCCAYACTGCTCCCTTCTCCCAGCYTCAGCAAAGGAGCTGCTCTCTGCAGKTCTCCACAAATTAGAGGAGCAACATGGCATGTGGATATTGTGGCGCCTGAGGAAACTTCATCCGTGGAGGAAAATGCAGCACCCTCACCAAGAACTGGGTCTCAGGGGTGCTCTGATATTCTCTGCCCTCTCTCACATAAAAATACCACCCAGCACTTCCCAAGTATGGTAACCACCAAGGATGTCAAGCCCTAATAAACCACCTCAATAAAAGTGCTGGCTTTTGCATGTAAAGAAGAAGATACAAACTTCTCATKGAATAAAAAGGAGCAAAAAAACTTCTGGGTAGCAAATGTCTTGTTTTAAAAATAGGTATCTGCCTTTAAAAATCTATTATTTCTCACACAAACGGAAATACAATTCACCCAGGGGTTCAGATCCAGGAAATGCTGAACAGTTACAGTCACAAGCTCTTGCCCATAAAGGTCTGTCKGTGAGCTGGCAGCTTCTTCAGCCCCCAGTTTGCCTGTGAATCTGATCACAATGGTGTGCCCAAGCTGAACTTTGTTTAAGCCATTTTTCCTTGAGGCTTCTGCCAGCTCAAGTAATTGCTCTCTTTGGTTTGTGTTTTTAACCCCTTTTTTTTTAGTTCCATGGCACAATACTGACACTGAAAAGTATTAAAGGGTCTAACAAATGCTAACGTTACAGGATGGAAAACAAAGACTATAAACTTACATATTTATTGCTGAGATGCAAAGAGTTGTCGAGTTTTATTCTTCCCATGAGATGAGTGCTCTCCTAAGAAACAGAAAATACATTTGCATCAGATAAACATGGAAAGACAAAAGGACCAATGAGTGTGGCAGGAACACATCACTGGCAGCTTTACAAGCTGGCCAGTCTCCTTGTCCATTTACTTAACCAGCAAAAACTGTCCACACAATAGATTTTTACCTCTCTATTTTGTAGATTATTTCCCCTGTGATTTGCTCATAAATGGAGGGCTACTACCACGAAGTATTTTCCAAGGCAGTTCTCAAGGGAGTTGAAGAGGAGTAAGACTTTAATTAATTTATAGCTATGATTAGAACACTGAATTATAAAAACAAGAAGATAGAACTACAAAATTAATTTTTGCCAGTTGACATCAGCCCAGTTCCTTGAAAGCAGAAGGATGAACACTTAAAACTTCACATAGTTCTCAATCCTCCTTCCCTGGAGAAGCACTACCAGCAGTTTGAGGCAGACAAATAAACCTGCAGATGAAGCTGTGTTTACAGATGTTCTATTTCCACTCACACATCCCAGGAATGGCTGTGGAATTACTGTGTGTTGGAGATTTGTACATAGGAATGAACATTCACAGACTGGCCAGGAAACAGGCATGAGGGTGGGAAAACCCAAATTCCTCCAGGAAACTGCCTTCTGCCTCCCTGCTCACCTGCAGGAGACAATTTAATGCCTCATACATGCAGGRGAGGCAGGGAAGTGATGTATTACATTCCAGGAGAAGTGAATATGTGTTAAAAAGCTTCATGTGATWGATAGCCTGGGGTTGCAAACTGTAATACAAATTAGGATTATAAAAAAATTCACTGATTAGGCATTTAAATAATTAGCAGCCAAATTAAATAGGCTTTCACTCCTGAAGAGAATGGAAAAGACTTATCAATGGTTTTCAGACAGCTTTTCTTCACTGCAAAAAARGGCTCTTTAATTTAGTGCAGCTTTTAGAAGATGAGTAGAAAACTTGGTATCTGCTGAAAACTGTTCAACAATAAYGGGCTGGAATGGTGTTCAGTTTCCAAGTGCTCAGTTTTGGAAAAAAAATCCTTAAAACAATTTTGAAGTGTTGCTAAGATAGAGCTTCAGAAGTTCAGATTATGTTAAATTTCAGGTAGAGAAAAGAAAAGCACAAGTATCTGCTAGGAAAAAACTGAAACATCTCAACAAGACATATTTTTGGTAGGTGAAACATTTTTGTTAGATAAAAATCTTGCTTGGAAAATCTAAAATAAAGTGAACYGTTCAAATGTTGCACAGTTTTATGCTAACAAAGAAATGGTTGCAAATGCATCTGAAGGTATTTGTGTCATGAAGTCTGCAATTGTTAGTGCCAGACAACAATTCAGTGATGAAGAAACAGTAATTATGTATTGGAGAAGAAATGGTCACAGATGCTCTCTGTTCAAGAAAAAAAAGGGCAGTGGATGGGTTTAGATACAGGGCTGCAGTACCCCTGGAGACTGCACAGAGAGCTGTCCTGATCAATTTTGCAGTTCAGTGGTTTGGCAGTTTGAGATTCTGCTAAATATCCAGTTGCAACTCAAAGGGCAAACTGAGAAGAACATTCGGGTTAGTTGCAAATAAGAAGATATTTATATTGKTTTCAAAACAGCCTTAACTGACAGAAATAGGTTTCAAGACTGAAAAAAACCTGAATGTGCCCCCAAACCATCACCCACCAAAACAAATGGATTAAACATTGCTTTCCATATGGGAAATGAAAACCAAATACTTGTGTTCACTAGTTTGTTAGAACAGAGAATATTTTAATAGACTGARGAAATTAATTCATACTGAATTGTTTTCTGATCAAGAAAATAGAGGATGCAGTGGAGGCGCTCAACCAGTCCAGACAGATTACGTGGATTCTTTGAAAGCTTTCACAGAACCAGAGAATTATTATGTTTGGAAAATACCTTTAGGATCATCAAGTCCAACCATGAACCCWGCAGCATCACYGTGTTCACCACTAAACCACGTCCTCACGTGCCACGTCCACATATCTTTTGAACACTTCCAGGWGTGATGTCTCTAGCACTGCCCTGGAGAGCCTSTTCCAATGCTTRATAAACATTTTTGCAAAGGAATTTCCCCTAATATGCAATCTAAACCTCCCTTGGCACAATTTCAGGCCATCGTGGAAAGAGAGAGGATATAGTTACACAAAATATACCAACAAGAGCAAAACTGCTGCACAGCATCATCAGTGAAAAACTGGGATTTAATTTATTCTGGATTATGCATTCAGAGAAGGATGACTCTCAAATTCTTGCATTAGGCAGCAGAAGATGGAAGGTACCAAGGGAAACTTGAACCATCAGCTTCTCATTATATTCAGCACCTTGCATGAAGATGTTGGTTGATCTGAAAACTTTCTGATAATGGCCTGAAAATTCACTGTACATTTGTCCACCTTGACAAATAAATGTGTGGCCTCAGAAAAATGGGAGATGAAGGGAACTGGAGGGAAATATTTGGTGGAGATAAAGTGCTATCAACTGCACAGCTGCAAGTAAAATGTGACTCCTTTTACCTGTGGTCCTGCCATGTGACACCTCTCCTGATGGAGGAGGAGTTGTGGGCTCAGACAGATTGGCAGAGGGCAGGGAGAAGCCAACCTCATATATATCACACACTTCTACAAAAACTGAAAGAAATGATGCACAATTTGAGAAAGAGGCCTTAGGCAGAATGTTTGGAAAATGAGATCGGATACTGACGTGGAAGTTTTAGCTGACAAGCCAACCCTGCCACTACATCTTTTATTCTCCCTCTCATCCTCCAGTGTTGCACCTGTTGATTTTTGTCTGAAATTGGATTGCAAGCACAAAGACAGGCATCTTGAAGCCTCTATCACTACCAYACAACACAGACAGATCTGTAGTTAAACTGTTAGGCTTATTGCTGCAGGAGGCTGCAGGTAGCACAGCAAACAAGACAAATTTGTGGAATTAAAAGCCACTGAGAACTCTGAAACACCAAGGATGGAATGTCTGATTCAGGAAGTCTCCAAGCCACAGGTTGCTGGAACACTGTGGTGGAGAACACATTATTGGACTCCTTTCCTGTTTGCCATGCCTCCTTTCACAGCTCATGCAATCCACCCTCAGTGACAGCACTTGGGGCTATGTGGATCCAGGATCTGAGCAGGTACAGGGGGCTCAGATGATGGTTCCTCAGCCTCAATACTAAAGGAGACAGTGCTCTGCAGCTACCACAACACATCACTGAACCTTCATACAYCCAGCCTCCCATGTGGCACCCTTTGGACACTCTTGCTGGAGCCTTGGTGCCCAGTTCACCCAAGGAAATCAGCAGTATAAGCACTGGGTTCGATCCAGCACACCCTCCACATATCCTCCTAAACACAGCCTTGCTTCAAAAGGATGAAGACAAGAAATATTTACAAAAAACCCAACATTTGTAGTCATAAATTCTTATCTTTCAACATATTTAAGTGCATGGAAAGTAGACTGAGTACACAGATACTTAGTTGAAAGATTACCAGGAAAGAAATAGTGCTGCAGTGAAAATACAGCATTTCTTACTAATTAAAATTTCACTTGTGCRGTATTTGTTTTGATTTTTCGCTCATAAATATACTCATTTCCAGCTATTAGTGTTGCATCCTGATGTCAGTGCRTGTGAATAAGTAATGGGTACAATCAGCTGAAATTACTGATTGCAATAAGATCAATTTTGAARCTCTGAAACAAACATTTCTTTGTCTCACTTTTGTGGAAGTCTATTGTATGAATCTCACTGCAATTTGCCCTCTCCGCCTGCCCCTCCACATCTGACTCAGAATCTGAATATATTATTCAGAATGCACATATGCTGCAGAACATAATGACATAAAAGGGAGTACAGACTGAGTACTATGAGTACAGAAAATCTTTGACCTGAGTAAACCCCTCTGACTTTACTGGGAAAGCTGGAAGAAAAAGGATGTGAAAACAGCCTTTCACATAAAAAAACAGGTTGTACTGCATCTCAGATTACATCGCTTGTAACAAAAAATTAGTTGTGCTGTTATTTCACTGTAATATCTGCTGCTGAGAAATTGCCTGTAAGTGGCAATCAGGTTTGGAGCAAAGAATTAAAGAAAAGTTKTCATAAAATCTGATTGCAGAAGSCTATCTTCTCTAAAAGTATAAAACKACCTCTGCAGACACAGGAATMACAAYGTTTATTTTTGCCATGCTGAACTAAAAGAAAGAGGGGATGCTGGAGAGCAGCATTGAGTGGGAACCAGTGGCTGGGTTTGGTGTGGGCCAGTGGATGCTGCAGCTCCCCTGCCTTGCTCCTCACCATTCCCCTGCAAACTGCTCCAGCAGGACAGAAGGATCTGAACAGCTCACCATGGCAGAGAGAGGGCGTGTGGAAATGTTCAGGGGAAGGACAGGATTGCTGCTGAATGGGCAGCAAAGGGCAGGAGGCAGCTCCTCACCAGGAGCAGCTCAGGAAACTGCAGGCTGGAAAGGCAGCAAATGCTTCCCAGGGAAAACATCACCTGGCCCTCAGCAGTCTGTAGGAGACTGCTTAAAAAACCCTTGAAAACATGAACAGCTCACAAACCAAATTAGAAAAACGGAAAGAAGCATATGCTATTTTGACTACAGTTTGACTATGCTTTTGACTACAGTTTTGTCCAAAASTTTCAGCTGGAAGCTTGTGCAGTCAGAACTTTGTGGTGAGAGTAAACACAAACAGAGTCCAACCACAAGCTGTAAAGAGCTAAGAAAGCTTATTCTCCAGTTTCTGTGAAGAGAGAAAACACAGCTTCAGGCTATTATACAATACAAGGTAAAAAAAATAGAGTATCAGAAAATGAGAAACAAAAGGAAAGGGAAGCAGGTACTTGATATCTTTCTGTGTTGCAAGGGGCCCCTTTTCTATACAGCAGCTTCTAGGTGTTCTACCTGCTGGGGAAAAAAATGTAAGACCCTGAAACTACATCTCAGAATAGCCAACAGAAATAAGATAATATCCTACATTAGCAGGAACAATYGCCCCTACTGCTCCTAAGAGCACCATGTGCCAGCAGACTGCTCTTTGCTGACCTACACAGCTCATCTTGTAAACAAGTGGAAGAGGCAAGGGAATTCACTCTGGCAAAATGCTTCATCTAGGGGCTCAGATTCTCCACCTGCTCCTAGAGACATCTATCTGGATCCTGGACATAATGAGAAAGAGGTCAAATGCATGTTAAGAAAAGTAGAGCCACACCCCCTTGCAGGGATAAATTTCCCTGGGTCCCTAATGAGGTAAACCCCAAAGATTTCTTACTTTCTTAATGCCACAGTCCGTGCTCAGATGTACTCAGCATAACAGAACCAAGGTCTGCACCAGCTCCTGATGTGTCCCATTGTACCAAAATCACATCTATGGTTTGATGAGTGAGGCAGAACAATCGATCTCAGCGTTTGGAGGGTCATGGAAAGCAGTGGTGAAGATATTTGTATCCAACCACACTGTTTCAGAGCACCACAGGATTTTCCATGTCCAAGCCCCAGCACTGCTGTGGCTGTCTTGAGGTACATTCTGCTGGAACAGCAGATAATGGCTCCAAGGCCACCATAACCATTGGACTGCAGTAGCTTTTGGAGATGTGGAGCATATGGAGAATGCAAATTTTTCTGCATTCTTGCTTCATGGTGTTGTGCGCTGCTCTGTCATCTGAGAGTACCTCTAGGGATTAATTAATGTCTTTCTCCTGTGTGATTGCAGTAAGTTAAAGGAGTTTCAAATGGAAATKGTGTTTCCCAAATATCCATCTCTGCCTGGTAAATTTTCTCATCCCTGTTTAGTAGCAGCACTTGAATTTTCATTTTTGTCCACGATGGGTATCTTCAGAAGCCCTAATGCAGACATGCACCACAGACCCTTCTCCAGCAAACTTCCATTCCAGGTGCCTCATCAAAATCTGAGCTACCTCAGCTTTGACACATTCAGTGTCCTTTTGGCAAATTCAGTGTGGAACAGGCARTATCCCTACAGGCCAAGCAAGTCATATCCTACCCTCTAACCTCAAACCAGTTCAGTCTGGTTAGAAAACATGCTTTATGGGATTAGCTTATGCTTAGGTGCCAGGATTATACTGAACAGGTCTGAAATATGGTGTCACCTGCACATCTCTATGAGTCTTGACATTGAACTGGTGTGTGCTTCTACTAAAAAGATCTTTAATACATTTTACCTGCTCTAGGATAGTTATTCCAGGCACGGGCCATAAAGGAAAACTGGCATTAATCAGGTACCAATATTTCTATCATGCATCATACATCTGTATGGAATAGCCTTCCCCAAATTTATATTCACCAGCCTTTCTGTAACTGAGGAATTTTCATCCCTCAGCATTTTTCATGAGTCCTAAAAAGGTGATCAAATACCTTTGCTGTTTTCCAGTGTAATACACAAGGACCCTGACAGAAAAAGTCAGATCTGCTTTCAAGACAGGCAATACTTTAACCTCATGGATGATGGTATTGATCTCTTAGTCATCAATTAAAACCCTTCATCTTACATCCTCAGGAAATATAACTATCACTGACAAGCTAAATGTGCAGTTCTGTGGGCTGTTTRGAATCTCAAATAAATATTTTTGCAGGTAGATTTTCTAGAATGCTGTATTGTAGAAGACCATTTACTCTCCCTAGGGAGGGYCACCCTAAATTTGCCTGTGCAGTCAACATGAAATGGCTGCTGTAAATCCTGCATTTGTACATCAGTGTAAAACTTCTGTGGCTATTCAGCATCCTGAGCATTTTTATCCAAAGTGGGTTTTCAAGTCAGATGCAAGAAGAGGCACTTATCTTGCATCAGGTGTTGCAGTTCACTGCCAAACATGCATGAAAAATTTACTGAGTTTAGTTTGCTCTGTTTTTTTACTTTGCATCAATTCTACACCACTTGTGCCTTAGAGCTCAAAGCCATTAGCAATTCCATATTTTTAAGAAGTTATAAAAAAATGAGAATATTAAAGCTCCATTTTACCTAGTGTCCCTGATGATACTACTCCATTAAAAAAACATCACTTTAGTCCAGGCTTAATTGAAAACTGTTCTTTTCCTGTATTCTTTTACATTAATTGTAGRCATTTGAAATAATATGCTTGATTAAATTTAATTCAGCTGTGCCTCTGAAAAAGGAGTCTTCCCTTTTTCTTTCCTTTCATAWTCAGAACCTAATTTTAGTAGTCCTAAAATAGGATCCTTCAGTAGTCAATGGACTGCCACAGGTCAGCCCATTCCAGCTTAAGATAGATGTCCAAGGCAGATGGGGTAAACAGCCCTCTGCACACRCATCTCCTTCAAATTTGTGCAGCTGCCATAGTTTTTAGACAAAATAAAGCAAGAGTAAACTCACCACAACCTTTGGTCAAGATCTATGCACAACACTGGCACAGGGTTTTTCTAGGCTGCCTTGAACAGTTTGTAGGACCTTATTTGTCCTGYATACATTCTACAAAATTACAAAATCTTCTGTTTGGAATAAAAAGTAAAACTTAAACAAATACAATTCATACTTCTAATAAAGCTTAATTTGARTACACAACAAGGTAGAACTTCATTGTATATGTATTTAACCTTAAGGAGGAGCTGCCTATTGACAGTGAGAGGATGAGGTAGGTCTGCCTGTAAAGTTAAGGCTGCTCTTTAGATCTTCCCAATTTTAGTCTTTCCACACACAACTTTTTGTAGTTTTGTTGGTTCTACAGAGACAGCCACAACACACTCAATCAAAGAATGTCCATTAGTTAGTTTATAACTCCATTCAGCTTTCAAAAAAAAAAAAAAAAGGATTTTAAGAAAACATACAAATGCCAAAAATAAATAGCTGGACCAAGGAGAAAGAAAAACACATGTAAAGAAGTTTTATGCTGTGAAATTGTTGTCAGTAGCTGTAAGAAGGCCCATGAGTCATAGTTCTTGTATCTACACCATGAGAAACATTTGTCTTTATGCCTGAGCTTTTAATGAAGCAAGTAAATCTGATTCAAATGGGGAGGCATCCTAACATACTTTAAATACCCATATGAGTGAAAAATATTTCTGGGAGAAACAGACCCCTCTGTCAGAATGCTTTTAATTTAAGAAGTAAAGTGACTCTAAAAACCTGGGCAAAAGYAGGACTTCAATTTCTGTGAAAGCATGTTTAATTTTGAAGCATGTAACAACGTAAGAATTAAGAGAAAATGGCAGCTAGTTTAAATATGAATTGTATTAATGAGAAGAGGGCAAGAATCTTGTCTTCTAAGTGGTTATGACTCAAACCTTCTAATTATAGCAYGCACACATCATACTTCTGTGAAAAAGAATATCAGCATCCTCTGGATGGAAGATACTCAGACACTTGRTGATGAACAGGCACCTGAGCTCATTTTGTGAAAAAAAGGGGGAAAAAAAAAGAGAAAAGTGAGCCTTTCTTCTCTCATTTATCCTGATGTAAACCACAAGCAATTTTGCTACCTTCAATGAAGTCACTTTATTTTTGAAATGGCATAATGGGGGCAGAATCAATCAAAGAATGTCCATTAGTTAGTTTATAACTCCATTCAGCTTTAAAAAAATAAAAAGGATTTTAAGAAAACATACAAATGCCAAAAGTGCCAGAGTGTGGTTGGCCTTTGCCCAGCAGCAGTGGGGCAGAATGATGTGTCCTGTGATGGAGYAGACCCTTCTCATGTCCCTCCAGCCCCTAGCTCTGTGTTGAGAGGCCATGGGGGACTTTGCATGACCCTGGTTTGCTGCAAGGGCTGCCCTGTGGGTTTTTTGGGATTTTGGGTTTTTGGGATTGCACAAAAGCTGCTGGGAGCTGCAGAGAAGGCTGGAGGGTCCAAACTGTGCCTCTCCAGTGAGCAGAGGATAGTTCAGATCAGGTGCTGTATTTCAGAGGGCTTCCCAAGGATTTGGACAAAAAGAGATGGCAGCTATTGGTCAGAAATGCCAGGAGGAGAAACAGATGGCCAAAAACCTTAAAAACAAACAAAAAAGAGTTTTATACMTAAAAATTAGAAAGTAAGAGGTGGAAGGATTTCTGTGGATGAGGTGGGACCTAAATGACTGAGAAAGCATCAGGCAAAGGTGTGAAATTTCACCATGGCTACCTTTACCATAAGAGATTTAGGGAGATTTTATTTACTTTTTGAGCATCTGGAATCAGATTAGTCAGAATTTTGTTCTGTGTCAGTCTTCTGCTACTCCATTTTTTTTGCAGAACCTATAACTGCACCCATCTCTTTGCTTTGAAATTTTGCTTTCTTTTGTGCATGTTCTCAATAACCTTTTTTCCTTTAGGCTTTATTACCACAGATTTTGTAAGACCCTGAAGCACACGACAGTGGAATTTGCAATGAGAGTAGGATTTTGAATGCAAAGGGTGACTGAGTACAGGGCTGACTGAACACTGCTGACACCAACTCCAACAGAGCCCTGATTACATACAGCACTGACTCCCAAACCTTTTGATCCCTGGGATCACTTGGTTGGAGCATGGTAATAATAACAACAAGGTTGTGGTTTGATCTTCACATGGGCTATTCACTRAAGTTCAYTKGYRGGTCCCTTYCAACTCAGAACATTCTGTGATTCTGATATTCCCAGTGTTCAAACCTCCTTGTACACCCAGATTTATCTGATAACACCACCCTCACTATTGTTCCTGAACATGTCTATCTGTACATCGTTTACCATCAATGATTTAAAAAAATATTTTCCTAAACCAGTCACACTTCTCACTCCCAAATACTGACAGCACTCACAGTACAGTGAACTGCAGCTCTACAGGATCCCAGTCTGGGGATTTGCACTGTAGAGGAATTGTTTGCAGCAGCTTTGACCTTACAGGAATTGAAGATGAGTTTGCTATTGGGAATGCCCTCCCAAAATCTGCTCTTCTCTGAACTCAGGGAGGGAAACAGACTTACACACAAAGGAAACACTCACCAGTCTCAGGAGAAGTTGTCTTCACAGAAAGAAGTTTGACTCCTTCTTTATCTGACTGGGCCCTGTTGAAGTCAGAGAACATTTAAACAAACAGTCAGCACACATGTTGGTCAGCCAAAAAAAACTCTAAGGTTGTGGTCCAGCACTAAAATTATGGAGGCARCACCTACTCCAGTCTACACTGGCAGGCTTAAAATGGGTTTTGCATGGGGTCATGTGATGGAAGCCTTGSTGGTGGAAAACACCSCAYACCAAMATCTCTGAAAACACATTTCTCTTGAAATATRTAATAAACCAAGTTTCATGACTCCAGGTGTAATCTAGGACTTCACAATGGAGGTACATCTGGGGGAAAAGAAAGAGTAATGTTTTTTTTCTGTCAATATGAGGCTTTTAGCYATGTTGAATTGCAAAGAAGGACCACTTCAGGTGTCTGGGATGTGGGGCTACTGAGAAAATCAGCATCCTAAATGTTGCTTTTGGTCATGTAAGTGRCCACTGCCAGGCTCAATAGCCTTAAGTATCTATCTTCTAATGGATCTTTGGTTTCTCTCTCCTCACACTCCTTATGCCACTACTATTTCAACTGAGCCAATGCAGATGGTCTAGTAGAAACAAGGCAGGACAGAGGAACACAATATAATGGGAACAAGAGAAAAAATATATATAAATAATCCAGAGTAAAAAAGAAACACATTAAAAAGAGAGAAATCATGAACAAAAGAAGGGGGGTGGGAAAAGATTTGGGGGGGAGAGGGAAGGGGTCAATGGGGCAAAAAGTGAAAAACAAAAAAATAAGGAAAAAAGACTGGGCTGATGAGTCCTGTGRCACAGCATAAGCTGTTTATCCATTYCCAAAGGACCACTTGCAAAACAGTTGAGAGTCACCACATTTCTATCCATGCTGAAACAGCTGCTTATTGTGCATACAGGTCTACAATAACTGCAAGTGCAGCACTTTCAACAGGTTATTTCTCTTTGGGGTGGCTATTCATTATTGTGTTTAAACAGAAAGATCAAAGAAGATCCTATTCAGAATCTGCTGCATTTACAAGTGCTGCATGAATATATATTTCAAAGCAATGAAAAGGATTCAACCTACTGTTCAGCGCCGTTCTCTTGTCTCTCTGGAAGAAGAAACCAAATTAATATCATTTTGACTGCTGGAACTCAAATCTCAAACATTTAGACATTCCTGTTGCAGTTGCTGGCAGAAGGCTCAAGCAATAATTTTGCAGTTTTGCATTAAGTTCATTACCACAATCCACCAGCTTGAACAGCAATTGTTATTTTTCTGGTTATCTGTGGAAGTGAACTGATGCTGCTTCTGGAAACCAGGGAGAATGATGTGACTTGCCCAAGAGCACAACAGAAGCATGTTGTTCCCTGCAGCTCCCAAATGCCTGGGTAGCTGGCACAGCAGATGTGGGTATGGGATGGTTCTCGAGCACACAGCTGAGCTAAAAGGCACAGGGTGAGGGGACTGAGGGTACAAGCTGCCAGGCTGTACTCCTGGTGGGTTCAACCTGGCACCACATCTGAGAGCAGAGCTTGTCCTCCCCATCGATGAGGAGCAGGTTTGTCTCCAAATGAATCATGTGCTGAATGTATTTTGTGCTTTTGTGCAAGTGTGGGCAGATGGATGGGGCCAGGGGGTTACATCAGAGACACGGAGTTGACTCCATGGCAGCAAGYACAGGGCTTTCCATCCACAGGGGAAGCACGCTGGATAGGTCTGGGCAAATCCTACAGGAAGCACCACAGATATCTGCTCTATCTTCCAAATGAATTTGCTAATACAGTGCCTGAGGACATCTGTGTACAGGGGAGGCTGGTAAGGAAATGTTCTCCATCTCASACCTTTATCTCTTGACTCTGAATATTCAGTAATTTCCTAAGCAGGGATCACACCTTCCCCTGTTYATCTGGGTCTGGTTTTCCATGTCATTGGCTAAATTGGTTGTGACACACTGTTTGTCTTGGTTTACAGCTTCAGCACCCTGTTGTGATTTTTTATTTCCAAGGCTTGGTGATTTCACAGTTCTGCACAGGTCTCTTAACTCATGCCAGCTCACAGAAATAGAAAAGCCACAGTCAGGACTCAAATCTGTATTTTCACTTAATGGAGTTTTGCACTTACCTGTGGCCTACTTGGGCAACCCTGAAACATTTGGCAAATAGAGTTTGATGGAACTATAACCCATTACTTTAAGAATTTAATGGGCAGCAGTGAAACAGATACTGYGTTTACTCTGTCAAAGTGACTGTTTTTAAAAATACTGTCTGCTCAGGGATTTTGTTCCATGACATTACACTGTAACTGGAGAATTCTACTCATGCATCATGTGCAGGTGTGTGTATGTATGTATCAGCTGTATCCCAAAAGAAAACTGTGATGTTTCTTTGCCTGTATCTAGAAGAGAGGTCAAATATATTAAGTGCTTTTGTTGAATATCTTCGAATTTAGTTTTCACTCACTATTTCTMCCTGAGGGACTGTATTAGCACAGGTGTTTGCTAGCTTTTTGTAGATGCAAAAGCATGAACTAAAAGCTTTACAGCATTACATATTCTCCAAAAATAATTTTTGTTCACTCTGTTCTTCCTACTGATTTTGAAAATGAAGTGTTAGTTTCCTACTTTAGGCAGARCACTTCAAAATTCAAAAAGCTTTCCCATTAGAGTACCACAACAGCTATGGTTAAGRTAATCTAAAAGAGGTCTCTTAATATTAAAAAGCACATTGATTCCCTGCTCCCTGCAGAGAAAGCAAACCAAATACCTGGAGTTTTCTTCTGGCACATTTTGTACAAAGCCACCAGTGAGAAGACAGAGAGGGTAATGACTATCAGGGTGATGACAATAGGCAAGATAACATCTGCAAAAAGAGAGAACATCATTTTAGCTGCTGCCTCTGATTCCATTGCCTCTGTGTAGAGGTACTTGCACTCAGTAAGGTGAGAGGCACCTCCAGTTCCACTGCACCAAACATTACCAGTTCCTCCAGAGTGGGGAAYGTGCTGCTCCTTTTATTCTTCCTGCAACCACTAAGCCTCAGGCTCAGATGCCTTGAGGAGAGAAGACTTAGGCACCTGCCTTCTCCTGTTCTTACTCCTTCCCTGACACTTGTGCTGTCCTGTGGAACTGGTTTCAYCCATTTTTCAGTAGAAGAGCAAGGTTTCAGCATCTGCTTCACTGGCCCCACCATAATTTTGATGAAAATGCTCATCATTCAGCCCCAGTGCTGATGGCTTCCAAAGGTTTAGTGAGAAAACTGTGTTCCAGGAATAATTTTTTTAACCATGCAATTTGTTTTTTCCTCTTCTTTTTATTTTCTTTWAAAAAAAGACCTGTCTGAAATTCAGCAGCTGAAGAGGCTATTTTGCTTTTAACATTGTGCACCCAGAAAGACACCAAGGAGTTACATAATTCAGWAACATTCCCCACAGCACTTACAACCAGGGATAGAAAATGCAAGATCTCCTTTTAAAATGAGGACATCTCTTTCCTTTTATTATTTCCCACCATCTGCCATTTCCTGACAGGTGTTTCCCAGCCAAGAAGCAAAAAAAGGAAAGAATTATGTAATGAAGAGAAGCCTTCCCAGGGAAATATATAAGCCCAGCTTCTTCCCTTTTATCTTTTCTCTGGCAGGGACTGGCCACATTCAAATTCAGCAGGCACTCTCCCTCCTGCTGGCCTAAGCCCTGTGTCAGGGGGAGGCTGCACTCAGTGCCTCTTGGTGCAATTAATATTTAATATTCCTGTAGATGTGTCTGTGCATCTCTGGAACTAGAGGGAGACAGTTTACAGGGGGAAAACATCAAACATGTTTTGCTTAGTCAGTACTCTGGGCAGGAAATGGCAAATCTGCAGCAGCACTATAGCCCCAGAGATGCATAAAATTAAAATGGAAGATTAGGTAGCATTCATCACGCAAATATCAAGTGCTTAAAGAGTCTGCAGAAGACTGCCTCCTAGACCTTCTTTCCCATGACAATATGAATAATATATTCATTTAAAAGATTCATAACAATGCCTCCATATCATATGTACAACATGTATATGAGCAACTTTTTCATATTTTCCCTTGTGCCTTCTCTCATGGGGGATGATTATTTTTTTTCAATTTTACCACTTTGAATCAGGTGTTGGAAATAAGTGTGCTGCACTGTGGTGAGATTGGTGATAACTTATTGAGGTCTGCTTTTCTGTGAGAGGAGTTTTATAAATAGCATTTAAATCTGGTTTGTAATAGGGCCTGAGTCTGGTAAGGCTAGGAATAAAAGTGCCAGTTTCATTTGTCTGCTGCTCCAACCACTCAACAAAGAAAAACTGATCAACTGAAAATGCAAAAGCAGGACAATTAAGTAAGAATACTCACTAGAATAGCGGATATCACTCCCTTGTTTAGTCTGGTCTCCAAAACTGCTTTTAGGACTTCCAGAAGCTGAATCTGCAAAAGAAATATTGCCTTTCAGGTCAACTCATATTGCCAGAATTCCCCAAACAGCTCCCTCTGAAAAATTACCCTCCTAAAACACTTTTGTATCCTCAGTTCTGGAGCCACTTGGTGCTTCACATCTATATTTCTTCTCAACAATACTTGGATAACCTGGCAAGAGGGACGGAAAAGCTTATCTAGGGTGGCTTAAAATAAACATGCACGTTGTATGGGTGCAATCTTCCCTAAGATCATCTGATTACAGGTTATGAGCTACAAAATTTTTCACTTTTAGGAGGWTATGGTACTGCTCAATATTAGAAGAGGACTTTCAGTGAGTAAATAAACAAGAAAGAGAGTGAAAATTAGACCTATCTCCAAGAAAAGAAAGGCCAAAATATTTCACTGCTAATTATTAAAAAAAAAGTGCTAATAGTAGATGAAGAAGTCCAAGGAGGTGCAATATTAGCAGATAGCAAGTTTCTGGTGTGCTGTTATAGAGGAATGTGCATGCTTGCTGCCACATTTGGAGAGCACAATGACTTTTGTGAGCCTCTGGGGCATTTTTTAGGGCTGGGTTTAAAGGAATGCATTTCTACCTGCAGGTAATCTGAATTTGAGTCAGGTATCAACAATGCCGAATATTTATTACCTTGCTGCATGCAGCCTATGAAAAAAATGGGAAGCCCAAACATTGTTGTTTCCCTGGGTACATTATAGAGCCATTATGGATCCCATAGGGGATGGAGGCTTGAGCAGACACTGCTCACTGCCACTGCAGGAGTCGACTACCTGGACTGATGTGGTGCAAGGTCAAGCACTTCCATTGCCTGCCTAAATAGCAGAAATGGCTCTCAAAGGCATCTGGGGAAGATGATCTCTTAAAAAGGGTCCTAGCAGAGGTCCTAGAGCTCTGTGTATAAGTAGTGACAACATGGTAGCAGCCACTGAGGTTTTGTTGCTCAGATAACCTGCTCAAAATCCACACCTGCAGGATTTCATGGCTCCTCTTCCAAGGAACAAAAGAGGGTTCAAACTGTTGGGTGGAAGCWATGAAATTAATGAATTCATTAAAACCAATTTTGTATGGCCATTTTGAGGTCTGGAATACAATTTTGTTCTACTAAGTCTCTGAAAGACAAGTCCCTATTTTTACAGAAACTTTTGTATGGGCAATACTTGYAACTCCATGTAAATCTATGGAGTTACAGTAACAAATAAGGTTTGTTTGTCCCAACCATGCAGAAATTCCTCTTCCTTGCAGAATTGATTTTAAACTCATGCCTACTATCTTAAAATGTTTTGGTGGTTGTTTTCTTTCTCCCTCCTCACTCCTCTACCTTCATTTGTCTGGATACACACAGAAACCTCCTGGGAAAAATGATCACTTCCTAAAGCTTGTGTGGTGCCTAAACAATAAAGCTGAGACATTCTCATGCTATAGTGTAGGAAACAATCACTAAATCCAAGACTTTATCTCTGAAAAATCACTGTTTCTTTAAAGCAGAAGTTCTCTTCCTCTTTGAGCCTGTCTGCTGAGGGGTGATAATGTAAGGATGGAAACTGAGCCATCATCAAGTGACTAAAATAATTCCTATGAATTCTTAATTCCATGKGATTGCTTCAGATTTCCCAAGGAAACACTACTGCCCTTTTAGTTACCTTATCATATACTACACGATACACAGGGCAAGCAGGCAATTAACACAGCAATGAGTTACCCTGGATACTGCCTGGAAATGTCAACAGAAACAAACTGCACTGAAAACCAGCAATGTGTATCCCTGCATTTGTGCCTCCCGTGGGAAGAGAAACTGAGGACTGAAATCCGCTGAGTTTTTTTCTGGTTATCTATTAATTGACCAACATGTGAGTAATGAAGGAGAGAAAAATCCATAGGTTAGCATTTTAACTACTTGTGACCATCAATAACAAATATGACAGCTGMAAAGAAACATTACTGAATAAAATAGAGCAAGGAACTAAAACCTCCAGCTCATTGCCCCGCTTCTTTTAATGAAGTTTCTCACAAGTCAGCCCCTCCTGTCTAGTTTCTCTGGATCTGGAAGGTATTTTCCAGTCATGGAATGATCTGGGATTGGAAWAAAAGTAATTGGAGAAATACATCTATCATGGTAACAGGAGGGAAAAGATTTTGCTGGCAGCAGCTGCAAGAACTGCAGGGACCAGTACAGAAGAGACTGCTTCCTGACAAGCCCAGAGAAGGGAAAATAGGACAATACAGGTTCATTAGCACAGGAAACCTGCCTTATTCTGGRACTTGCTGTTTCTAACTGCAGGATGAAGAGCGAGAGCCACTGACAAGAGCAAGCTCCTTGGTAAACACTCTATAACAGCTTCCCATTGCATCATGTAATATGCCAGGCCTGATTTTTTTCTGTGGTCCCACCCTATTTTTTTTTTTCTCAGTATCTGCTAGTCCAGCATGGTGCTTAGCTGAAATCACAGCAAAGTTACTCAGTGCTACAGGCTGAACATCACTCTTCCACTTCTCTGTAGTATGCTTCAGGTTCTTTATTCTCCYGGATCCTTCTTGCTTCCTGAACACTTCCTTTCCTCAGACTGTCCCTCTCCCACCCCACACCAGCCTTCCTCATCAGTGTTCAAGGGAAAACTCTTCTATTGCTCTTACTTGTTGAATTTGTTGAAGAACTCACAGGAAGACCTGCAATAAAACAGAAGGAATAGCTTTGTTAGTACCTGGTTTAGGTGTCCAGAGTCTTCACATSATGCAAACTGGCAGACTCTAGCAACATGCTCAGTAATGCAACAACAAATCCTGCCCCAGGACYGACATGCTAACACCATTCCCAAGCCCAGAGAGTCTGGGCTGTAAAAGTCTCCAGACATCCCTTATAGACAGGAGGAGAATCCAAACCCCAGCCTATGCTACGTTGTTACTCTGCTCAAGAGAAGAAAATCCTGAATTAATTATTATATTCTTAAAAACTCCTCCTTCCAGAACCAAATAAGTGCTTGGGACTGAATAGCTGACATTTAACTGAGAAGTCTTTTAATAAAAGAAACTAATTGAGACACATGTTCAAGAGTCACAAAACCCTTTAAAAAGAAATCTTTGTTTATTGTCCTGATGCATTTGCCTAGCACACTGCCAAGCAGCAGGCTGAGAGGCACTGGTAATGGGGAAGAAATCAACCTCACAGAGCACTGGGTACAATGCAAGTTTTTGGTGCACAAATGTCTTTTTTGTTAGCATGCTGCTGTTTSTGTGTGTCTAGACTGTTGCAGACTTGAAAATTAGGATGACTGTGAATGCCTTGCATTTGTAGGCCAGCAGAAGACAGCCATCACTCCCATAGGGATTTTTATTACATTGCATTAAATCTCTTCAAGTCCAAGGGAGACAAGCACCTAACTCCTCTGTGTCTCTGAGAACATCCACCTGTGTGAACTGGCAGCAAAACATTTTTCAGCTTGTACGAGAGAGGCTGTCTTTTTCCAGGAACAAGTGACTGATACTCTGCCCAGCTGGTAAGACCTTTCACACTGGATTACTGCAGCCACCTGGGGAAAAAATACCTCAGCCATCATATATCCTCAGTAGCCACTCATTATTTTGAGCTGTAAAGCACAGAATCTTTTAGGCTGGAAAAGACCACCAAAATCATCAAACTTTGACAAATCTCCACTTTGTCAAATAGACCATAGCTCCAAATGCTATATCCAGTTGTTTCATGGATGGTGACTCCACCACCTTCCACCCCTTCCAATGCTTGACAACCCCTTTTATGAAGAAATTCCTCCTGATGTTGAACTTAAAACTTCTCTGATGCAACTTGAGGCTGTTTTCTCTTGTCCTGTCACTGGTTGCTTAGGAGAGGGGATCAGAGACCCCCCAGACTGCAAATTCCTGCCAGGCAGTTGTAGAGGCTCTCCCCTGAGCCTCCTTTTCTCCAGGCTAAACATTCCCAGCTCCTTCAGCTGCTCCTCACAGGAATTCCCTCCAGACCCTTCCCCAGCCCCATTGCCCTTCTCTGGACACACCTCTGTGTCATTCTTGCAGTGAGTAGCACAAAGCTGAGCACAGGATTCAAGGTGTGGCCTCACCAGTGCCAAATACAGGGGACAATCACTGTGCTGGTCCTGCTGGCCACCCATTGCTGATCCAGACCAGAATGCCATTGATGTTCTTGGCCACCTGGGCACAGTGGCTCATGTTCAGACAGCTGTTGACCAGCACAAAATCATAGCATTGGTCACCTCTCTCTAGGCTGGAGGACATTAGGAAAGTCCTCCTCATTGGGTCTGCTCAGAGTTCAGTGGTGCCAGAGCATCTGGGGGGGAGCAGTGCATCTGAGCCTATCCCAAGAGCTCCATGGGAGGATGTGACCCACCAGCTTGTCCTCTGTGTCCCAGCTGTGCCAGGCTGGGGGATCACAAAGGCAACATCATGGAGGCAGCTGTAATTAAAGACAGGTATGAAGCCTCTCCCCTGAGCACCCAGGACTGCAGTGCTCCTCTCAACCAGGCTCCTCAGGGAATGCAAATCCACTCTTAAACCCTCACTGCACTTTCAGTGCTATGGATTGATGTTTGCACAAAGAAAGCTCCTACCAGCAGAGCTGTAACACCCATTATTCTATTGCTGTGAATATAATCTCTGAAAATCAGAAAGCTGCTCTTGTTTTTCCTTCTCTCTAGATCCAATTAAAACCATGGATCACTTCAGCCACTGGGGTGCAAATAACTGCTTTTGCTAATAGTACATGTGACAAAACTTTAACTGCATTTTAATCACAAACATTTGCAAGAAGTATGTTTAGATTGAAAAGCCAAGCACTTAAAAGTCAGCAGTAAGAGCTCTTCTTGAACACACCAAATATTTGCCATGCTAAATATCCTGAATGTATACAGTTACCTCACCCTGGCTTCCTAGAATGGAGAGGAGACTGTTTTCCTAAGCTTTTTTGTCATCTCATCAATCCATCTGCAAACAGCAGTATTACCTTGCTCAAAGAGGATCTCTGTGATGAATCATTAGGCAATGTTTGGGCAACATTACCAACAAAACCAAGCAAAAGCTTCCAGGAAGTTAAATCACTTGTCAAAGGAACAACACACAGCACAGAACGCAGCAGGACACATACCTGGCATTAAGGAAATATCCAAATATATTATGATTGCTTATTACCAGAATACTGCCTTTCCTGCAGCTTGTGAGGTGTGGGATGCCATGGTAAAAATATCATGTGATCATACAGCAGTGGTCAAACAAGTGAACTGTAAGGCCCTGTGTGTGTGTATTGCTGGACAAAGGCAAAAGACTTTGTCAAGTCTGACAAATTGGTCACTTCTCTGTGAAAMTTTGAATCTTGTCTCTCAAGGCTGTGGAACTCTCCTCTGAAAGAGTTCCAACATTATAATATAATTATACGTTTTCCATTTCATTCACTCTTACAAACAAGGTGAAGCATCTTGGCTCAAATTGAAACAAATAAATAAATAGGAAAAGCAAGCCCATATCCAAKTTCACCTCAAAGATTTAATGGCTTGTCAAAGCTGAATGCAGGTGACACAAGACTCTGCAAACAGGAAGAGCTGGGTGACATGCTTCAGTATACACTGGCACAACCAAAAGCTATGCAGCCGTCCTGGCCAGACCTTGCCACTTTAATAAACTCAGACAGCAAAAATCATCCCAGGTAGGAAACATAACAGCAGCCCCCTGCTCTCTCTTGCTGGGCCTCCATTATTTTTTAACAGCTGCACACACCCACACACAATAAAACTACCAGAATCTTTCCGAAAGTTATCTCACCCAGGTTTTGCTAGAGCATGAAAAATTAAATTGGAAAAATCTCATGCCTTCCTCTCCCTCCCTGTCTCCAGCATGCAAGCAAGGCACCAGTTCATCCTCTGTTCAGAGACTGCTCAGCCCTGCCACGCAAACAAAGCAGTGCTTATCAGAGTGATTCAGCAGGTGCTTTCAGTTTGCATTTTCTAAATAACCATCCAGTGCCCTTTTTGGTGGGGGCTCACATGCTGCTGCTCTCTGGAAAGAGAAGGACAGAAGGAAAAGCAGCATTTGGTTCGGTAACAGCAACTGTAGCTTCTTGAGCTGCCTGTACAGAGCTTGCTACATCCTTTGGGGCTCCAAGCAAGATGCTCTGCATAAATAATCTGGGAAGATTTCCAGATTCAGCATGACAAGTGAGGTGTGCAACACTGGCTGTGCTGCGTTCCTCATTGTGCAGTAAGGAGGACAAGGATAAAAAATTTGGCACATGACYATGGTTTGATTTGAAATTGCCTGCCTGAGTCAGTCCAGCACTGGTGAGAAACTTGACAGATGGAGAAAGAGACCTATAAACTAAACTCTCCCCACTCTGCTCTCCAACAACTGCTACCTAAACAGCCTGGATACCCCGTAGTTTGCTACTTCTGTCTTTTGGAGTGCAGCCACATCCAACTGCGTTCACTGGCAAAACAAACGAATAATCTTGGCTGATTACTCAGAGGGGATACCACAATATAAATCAAAGCAAAATTAAAAACTTGARAAAGCCTTTYTTGTCTTGACAACAGCATAGATCTRTAATAGTGTTAACTGAGGCTTTGCTATGTTCTCCATCTTCCAGTAACTTCTGTTGTTGTGTCTCTCTCTCTYCGTGAATGAGCTGAAGATATGGTGGGTAATTTTTATCTAATATCACTATCCAGAGTTCCTGCAGTTTGTGTACAGAAAGAGACAAACCCTACTGGTCTTACTCATAAAAAATTTTCTTAGGGAGATGCCTCCTGTGAATCAAGTGAGTATGATTTATAATTGGAGGAGTGCAATAAAGATATCAATAGATGAAGCAGGTTGATTCATCTGACAGTTTATTATATTAGATCATTTAATCTTACCAACCTGCTGGGTGAACTTAATCTCATACTGTTTTATGGATTTTTTTTTGTTGTTGTTTAGATCACAGAATAGAAAGCCACAATACTTGCAGTTTCTCAGATCTATTCAGACTCTGATCTCAAATTTTTCATTAATTAAACAAAAGGAGAAAATCAAATATTAGCAAGCAATCCTCTGAGGAGGTGGAGGAGTAGGAGGTATATTATACAAGACAGCCCAAGTTGAAGAAGTGCATGTGTCAATGGCACATGTGCAGGTTGCTCTCTTTGCTAAAAACAGTCCTTAGTGCCTCTCTGGCCTGGGTGAGCACCTCCTCTGTGGCTGCTGCTTTCARTCCCCTTTCATGCAGCAATATCTTTCCCAGATGTTTCCACACGTTCTTTCCTAGGCTCCCCCACTCATTTCAGTTGCTCTCCAGCTCTCTGTAGCACTCCTCCCACACCCTGATCTTTTGATATGGCTGATTGGAAATTTCTCTGCAAAATGTGCTTTCTTCTTTTTCTGCATCAAGAAAGGAAAGTTTCGCCAAAATGGTATTTTTTAAAAAATGGAAAATGGTCTCAAAACGAAACATATTTAGCCAGCTGAATTATTTTGGTTGGGCATACCAAATAGAAATGTTCTGGTTTGGATCCATTTCAYGTTAATTTGTTTTCCTCTGAGCTCCCACACAGAAGCTGTGGCTCAGGTACCTTCAGCTTGCAAATTATGTTATTCCCCATGGGCTGCAGCCGTGGCACATGCCAACCTCTGCTCCAGTGAACAAAAGGCATCCAGCCCCTCAATAAGGCCCTGAGTGCAAAATTCTGGAGACCCAGGAATAAATAATCTAATGGCAGTGAGAGAGGTGGCATTTCCTCTACTCAGCACAGGATGAAATTACCAGCTTCACACTTGCATTGCCTTAAAGTTATTAGGGTGCAGCACACTGCTTCCCCTGGCCCTGAGCAATTGCAGATAGGAGRAGAAATCCATTTAGAAGGGACCAARACAATTTTTCTTAAAACCTTTAACATACAGAGACTAAGGGAGCAAGGGTGGTCTAAGACATAASCATTTGGGATAAGCTTAACAAATCAGGGTGAGTGAGGGGATTTTTTTGCATATACAGGCTTCAAGAAAGAAGCAAGGAGGTGGTGCTRTGAGGAGACAGGAAAGGTGATAGTGTGGAAATCCTGGTGTGGTTTGAAATGTCAGTTTTATGGGARCTCAGAGCTCTGGCTATGCCAATGATATCTAAACTGACTGCCCCTGGATAGATGGGTTCTTTCTGTCTCAGCCAGGCAATTACAGCTCTGGCATCTTGGGAAGTCTCTGAGCTCAGAAAGATTTATAGGTTTTACAGCAAAGTGAGCTGAGTAGGATGATGACTTTTGCAAACAGACCCCAGGAAGGTTGTAAAACTTTCTTGACAAATTTGAAAYGTAAAATGTAGTTGAACAAACATTGTAATGGTAATTCAATACAGACAGATATGCATTACAATTTAATTTTAACCTGGAGAATTTCCCTGAGAGAGAGACCTTTTAATTAAAACTATTTTCATTTACTGTTTTCTTGCAGTACACCAAYAGTGAGGTTTCCATAATATTACTGCATTTGCCAAAAGACAGGAAACCTAACAGGAATGTCAAGTAACCACAGGACACAGTGTATGTCTTATGGGGAATGGGCTTATTGAAATAATTGCAAAGAATTCTCTCTGAATCAGTGGCCTTGAGCTGACTTTTACTTCCTTAAAATGCTTRTAATCTTTTTGCATGCTTCTAAGCATTTCAATGCCTACTGAGCACATGATATTGCTCCACTTTTACATCCAATACTACCCTTTATGAGGAAAAAATCACAGTACACACTCATGCTTATCTCCCAAAAACAGAATCCACGGGTTGTAAAAAGAGTCTTGTATCCCTTGGGGGATGTTAAACATTAATAATAATGATACGGATATGCAAACAAAGAGAAGTGTCCTTGTTGGATTTACACACATGTAGCTAACAGTAAGTACCAAATGAAGTGAAGGCCCAGGAAACCTTGATAAAACCTGAATAAGTGATTCTTCAAAACCTACCAGAGTTAAGCCAGCTAGAAGCGTAATAAATGATCATTCATATAACCTGGCCTCTGCATTCACCACGGTGTTTCTTAGTAAATACATACACCAAAACCCACCCAGAAAAACAAGAAAACTAGACTGGAGTTTAGAGGAATTAATGTATTTTTGACCTTGCATACCACCATGTTGTACTTCGAACATCGTTTAATTGGTGATATGCATTACATTTCTCTCCAGATTTATTCACAACTGCAAAAATTACAGCTGTTTTYTCCTTTGTCTCCTCTGCCTTGCAGCCAGAGAATTTATCTTGGTGACCTCCTGTGACAGTCAATGCTACACAATGACCTCACACAGCATATGTGAAGATTGCTATTGTCACTCACAATTTATATTYTCCCGTAATGACACCACATATCTCAACTGAATGCCTGGAACTTCACCCATCACTCAACACAACTTCAGAGCTAGGTGACATGGACACAGWGTACCTTGCATGAATAAGGAGATGACGTCCTCATTCCAGAACAGTGCACAACAAATGCAGAAAAGACTCAAAATTATTAGCATCCTTTTAGCTTCTTGGATGGAGAAAGCAAATGTATATGTTCAAGACTTACCTGAAGTTCCAGAGACAGAAGTGTTTCTTTCTGGAGAGACTGTAGACAGAAAAGATGATCCCACAGTAGGTGAAGCCTCCAAACTCTCATTTTGTGCCAATTGTGTTCCACTTGCTTGTGTGGCTGGAAACAAGACAGATGTTCAGGTAAGAGGAACCTGTATGAGCATTGTCTTAGACCCTGGACCATCCCTCAGACAAAYKCTCYRACCATCATAGAACAGACTAAAGGTWAGAAAGCACYACAGCTTCTGSGAGCTGCCTGTCRAGGAACAAACCATCCCTGTGGAATTGTTACTACTGGCATAGCTAAGGCATCTTCAAAGCACGTTGTAGCAAGAGAAACAGCCTCATATCTGTGCCAGAACACAGCCCATAGTTCTGAACTGGGAGCATAAAACAGACAGTCGTGCACCAAGAGAAACATGAGCAGAAGAGAGAAACTTGATTTACTGCCCTCTGTGTTTTCCTTAATTTAAAAATCAATCAATCAACCAGTCTTCAGATACAACTGTCATATAATGTGMTACTGCATAAAGTTTAAGGGATTGCAATTAAGCAAAGAGTTAATTATTTCATTCTGTGCTGTTAAGGCCTAGGAAATAATGTATCWGTGAAAATTGGTGTATGAAAAACAAATTGTCTTATTTCTGCTCTCACTCAGTCAAAAGATGACCAAGGCTATTGTGTCACAAGATTTGCAGCCAAAGGTGAGGCCAAGACACTGGTGCAGGGCATGACCTGAGCCCAAGGAATTGAAGGTCACTGAATGATGAGAAATAATTTAAGCTATTTCAGCATTGTCCATAATTCCTACATCTATAGTCAGCATAACAACAGGCAAGACAGTACCTACTGAATAAAACATGGAGGTGCCCAAGAGTAACCTTWTACTTCCTTCCTCATATAAATCAGAGAGGCAGCCAAGCTGTAAACTGTTTTCAGTGCCTCTTTACGTGAATTTCAAACACTGAAACTAAAACAACYTAAAGACATGTTTTAGTCAGAGAGCAACATCACACATGTGCAATGTGTAAATCTTGAGGAATGCTTCATCATACACTTTATCTAGAAAATGATTACCAGCTTTGCCCCTCAAAGAACCCAAAGCTCCCTATTCTACCAGCACACACCTTTAACTTGGCCCTTCCCTTCCCCTATTGTTATATAAGTGGTTTACCTTGGAAAGGCAAGTTTCAAAAATCAGTGAGCTAAGAAAGAGCAGGCTGAAGCCACTGAAGTCAGGGGATTCGTATAACTTTGGAAACTGAGAGAAGCTGGGCAGCCAGAGATGGTATCTTTCAAGGYTGAGACATGAAAATTATGCAAAACAAGCTTAAGTGTCTAAAACTTTCATTTGGATTCTGGTGATGAGATGCAGAATTTTATGCCAGCCTTCTTCAGGAAGTTCAGCATTGCACCCCTTCAATAAGCAGGTCTAAACTGCAGTAGAGGTGAGTGTAAAAAGACCCTCTACCTCCTTTTTTACTGTGGTATAGTGCAAGGATCTGAGAGCTTTAATAATTCCTGCATTCTCTTCATGGAAACTTCAAATGAATTTTTAAAAGAAAACTTTTTCTACATTTGATTCTTATTGTGGTGGCTTTAGACTCAAATRTTATATGTTGAATTTTAATTTGAGATCAATTTTTAAAAAAAGGAAGAAAACCCCAAATGCTTCCCTCTCCCTATAAGATGCACAGGGCTCAYAACAGCAACAGCAACCATCTCGTGGCTCCCTTGTCATAGGTTAGCAAAGGATTGCATGGGAAAATGAAAAGCAAATCAGAATAACAGTGAGCCTCCATGCGCAGAGACATTCAAACACAAATCTGCTTTGTGAACACTGCAAAACAATCAGGTGTGTGGGAGAGAGGAGGAGGGAGGCAATCAGTTGCCCTGTAACCCCACAGAGGGCTGCTTTCCCATGGGGATCACTCGTTCCTATCAGTCCTGGCAGCAGCCCAGCCYCGGGTGCTCCTCTCGTGTTTGGGAGCTGTGAGAACAGATTGTTCTCAGGAACACAGTCCCCTGGATATGCCTTGGCAGGGGATYGGGAGGGGAGGGATGATGGCATTTCCATTTTATTTCTTTTTAAAATTCAGCCTGGGTGAGATCCTTCCAGTGACCCAGGCAGAAACAGGTATGACTTATACCTTTACCTGGGGCTTGGCGTGAATCCTGTTGCATTCATTTCGTCAGACTGCAGAACTCAGTGCTCCCTGTGTGGAGGGGTGAAGTAGATGTGCTACAGGGCAAAAATCTGTGTGCCAGTTTTCACCACTTCCAAGACGAAAACCGCAGCCTGGCGGGGAGGGTCYCCTTAATTCCACTGCAAAATTAAATCCTAGCAACCCAATTCTCTGCTGACTTGTGGCTTTGAAGCAGCTTTTAAGCAGCATCCGAGCCTCACGCCTAATACCCAGCACAGGCTCYACCACCGACACATTTAGCAGATGAGACAGCTCCTGCACCAAAAGCCTGTGGGACTCACGGATTCCGCGGCAGCACCGACAGCCTGCTAGAAACCTTCCTTTTGGGAAAATCGCGTAGCTGATGTCAGTGCGAGCTCTAAGTGGGTGTCGGCGGCAGGATGGCCGTGCTGGGCGCGGTGACAGTGCCGCCATCCCCGCGACACATCGCTGCAGTCATTGATCACATCCCGCATCCCTCCTGCTGCCGGGGAGCGCTGCCTTGCAGCACAGCTCAGAGCACACGGGCTGCTGCTAATGCTGCAAAAAAGAGCTCGCATCATCGCTTCATGGGGCTGTTGTCAACAGCTGATAATGAATAAAAATGGTAAAGCAGTATAGAGTGTAAAATAGCTGTCCACAAGGGGATGATTGCCGCAGCGGCAGAACTCTCTGGTGATGATGCAGCTCTCCCCGCTGATATTTTGATGAGATAAATGACAGTGTGTTAACACGCATTTGGCAAAGGGATAATCAACAACAGGGAACCTGAAGCTGCTCTGCAAAGCTGCTGTCTGAGCTTCAGGAATTTCCTTACTCTCTGTGCTCTGAAAACCCTTCATTTTCTTTAACCAGCTGAAATTCGACACATATCCTCACTTGATCTTAGCATGGTTTTCTACTTAACCTACTTATAATCCACAAATATTTTGGCATTTCCTGACAGTACTTTAATTTTTCTTTACAGTAACCTGTTACCTAACTAGTTTTGACATTGTGAGATGCTTTAAGCAACCCACAAATACTCTGCATATACTCTGTGCACTGCAAAGAATATTGACATTTWTATGTGTGTTAAAACCTTTCYTGACCAATAAATGAATCAAGGAAACACTTTTAAGGGRGGAAAATGAACTCCACCCAAAGCATGTTAAAATACCAGCACAAAAGCTTTGTTAGATGGAAGACTAAAGCTTTTCCCTTRAGCTCRTATTTTTAGCATTAACAYACATATAGGCCTTGCCCCCATRATCAGGAGCCTGAAAAGCCATTTGYATYAATGAGTGCATGAAAGCACTGSTTGAAAAATCAYATTGTAGCAATCCCAAAGAYKATTTTGCCCATTCAGAGGAATGAAAATTGGCTAAGGAGGTAACCACACAGATCTGTTTTAATGTTTACATGCTTAGTTGATCGCATCTGCTGTCTGCAGCTTTACATTTTCCRGTAAGTAAAAACCCAAAGTATTTWAAAATACATATTTTAAAACTTCTTTCTGCATAAAATGTCTCATCAGCCAGCTATAYTCTGTGTTTACCTATAACAGGAAAATGGAACAATATCTGTTAGTATAACGATTTTCTATAGTGTAACTGAAGTAAAACTTCCTTTTTAACTACTAGCAGTTTGAAAAAAAGAGAAAAATTACATCCTCCATTCTTTCCCTTTCTCACTTTTTAATATTTAATATACCATTGCACCATAATGCATCATCATCCAGGAGAATGGCATGAGATAACTCAGAAACCAACAGTCAAAAACCARCTCTTTGTAATTTAGCACCTTGAGTACTGACCTTGCACAAAATGCTTGCTCCATATCCAAGGGAGGAAGAACAGAAATTTTTGTTGTGTTTCATTTCTGATTCTCTTTAATCACTTCAAGTGTCCCAGGATATGAAATCCTGATTGCAGATGCAATTTTCTGTGGTGTGACACTGTATAAATTCTTGTTGTAGGGCCTGAACTGCACAAATAAGGTCACTGACTAAATGTGAACTTTTGGTTTTGATGCCTTATATTGATAAATAAGAAGGCTAAGGAGATGAATCTAATGTTAGCTTCTAATATAATAAACAGGAGAGATTGTACTTGTGGCCTGTAGAGAAAAAGAATGCCCAAGTCTTCCAAAAAAAAAAAAAAAAAAGACGCTTGCATGATTTCAGTGTATGGAGCACTGGGGGCTTTTTCTGAATCTGTAATAAAAGGTGACAGCAGCCACAGAAATTGCAGCAGAGACAGGAAGCCCTGTCAAATCTTGGTTGTGTGAATGCAATCATTTGCTGAAGCTCTTAGCAGGGATTGAAGCAGAGGAAGGGATGACTTCCATTACAAAACAAGAGGTATCTGCTTTTTATTAAAAATCAGGGCAGTAAAAGTAGGTTTTGAAGTGTCATAAAGGCACCACCAATTTCTGCCTCAGTTTCATACAGCCAGTGCAAAAAGGGGGAGAAATGAGTGCTAGTGAAAAAGAGACAGTAGCCAGTTTTCTTCTCCTGACTATTTGGAGAGCAGGAGTGTTGCTTTGCCTGCTCTGGATTCAGGGAGTGCAGCTGCCCCAGCCCGGAGCTGCTGCTGGGGATGCCGGCAGGGGCTGGGAGGATTCGGGGAAGCCAGGGACACCCTGTTGTGTCCACGAGTGGAGTGGAGCCGCAGGGATGGCTGTAGCCAGCAGCAGGATGGTGGCAGAGGGGTYTGAGAGCTTTCTGCAAGGCTGGTCACACACAGAGCCCCTGTGCCACACCCTGTCCCAACACCAACTCCTTGTGCCCCAGCCCAGACCTTTGTGCCGAAGCAAAGGCTATGACTTCCTTGAAATGTAGATCAGAATTTTGTCTTAAAACCCCACTGGAACTGGTTTTCACGTACACATATTATTTACAAGCATTTATTTTGCATTAAAAGATGATACAAATTAATTTAATGCAGGGCATTTCCATTATCCTGCACACACTGTCCCAGTTTTCCTTCTACAAAAGGGATTGAGCAGCAGCTTTTAGGTTATTTTACCAAGCATTTTTTTTTTAATCACAAATTTTGTTTTTTAGGGAACGGGGCTTAGCTTGAATGGGTAGTTTTAAAACCAAATCACAACACAAGCTGCTAGAGACTGAACTCTTGCTGGTGGGGAAAGAATGCAAGAAGAATGAAAAGGAAGGTGAAAGTTTCTTGCACAGGCCCATGACTCCTGCAGCACCAGGGTACCCCCAGCACCAGTTTTTCAGAGCAGAGCAGTGGCTGGAGCTAAGCTGCACTGGCAGGCATGCCTGTCCTCATTAGCTTCCCTTCCCCTGCCAGCAGCTCTACCTGTCACCAAGGTTTAGTTCCAGGTGGCTGTGCTGCTCCAGTAGCCGCCAGCCAGGAACCTCTGCCAGACTGAAAGGATCGGGAATCGCATCCGTAAYGCCACATGCCATGCCACAGGCTCCTGACAGGACTGCAGTGTCACAAATGCAAGCTTTAAGAGATTCTTTGGGGCCTTTTGGTACCACTGAGCAGTGCATTRCTCTGTATGTGCTCTGTGACTCAATGACACTGGCATTCGAAAGCCAAGCCAAAACCCCAAAGATTTTGGGCTGACAATCAGACCMCTCCTTACRAAAGGCAGRGTGGGAAAGCTGCATCAGTAGAAGRTGAAACACAGCGTGAAAGGGGAATAGTTCTCCAGGCAGCTTAGCAGGCTTGGGTCCATGAGGGGTGGCTTTAAAGAAAAATTAGCACAAAGAAGCATGCAGACTGCTTTGCAGGAGACCTTTTTTAGGCAAGTAAGCCAAGGAAAGAGAAGTCACATTCTAATAATTTGTCACAGTTCAGTAAGCTGTAAACATCAATTCTGAGAGCATTGGTGCACCACTGACTGCTGAGGTAAATAACTGGAGTATTTATTTTTAATTTTTTAGTTAATTAAATATAAAATTGGAGTGTTTCAAAGCTCTGGTTCATCAAAAGACTGGCGTAAATATTTACTGTACACATCACAGACAAACAAGGGAGACTGAATTTCATCTTATGTTCACCGAGTTCCTTTTGGATGTTATTATACTTTTGAAAATTAACCCAACTACTTGCTGRGTATGTGGTTTGATTTTTTGTTTGGTTGGGTTTTTGTGGTTTTGTTTTGTTCTTGTTTGTTTTTGYGGGTTTTTTTTCATTATTATTTTTTTCTGAAATCCAATCTGATATTCCAAGCCATCACATATGTTATTGCAAAGATTTGTGGGAAAYAGAAGTATTTCCTTAGATTGATACAGAGTAATTAGTGCCACCTCTCTTTCACTGCTATGACTCACAATAATATRTATTAACCGTAATTAACCATATATAAAAATAAGAAACAAAAGGGTGTTGTTCTGACACCATTCTGATTGACTAAACACTTACTGAAAAAAAAAAAACCCAAACAAAGAAGAAAGTAAAAAATTAAAACCCTTCCAAATATGTCTCTCCCAATTACAGGGAGATTAAAATCCAGTGTAATGGCTTCAGATCATCTCCATTACAAATTAAAGGTGTAATATTCTTTGCAGAAGATTTTAGGGCAAGATTCATTGAAGATACATAATAAGGTAGGATGAATAGCTCTGCTYCCCTAAACCACCAAACTACTCTTTTTGACCACCTCTTACTGTTTTGCAGTTTTACAGAAATGTAGTACCGAACAAATCAGAAATGGCTCAATGAAATTATCACTTACTGATTGTTGTGCTGAAATTCCTATTTGCTGCTGAAGTCACCACTGGTTGCTGTGCTGTACCTTGTGTTGTTTCCGTTGTGGCACTTGTGGAGGGGGACGTTGGGTCTAACATGGGAAAGACATTCAATTTATTTCCTCAATTTTGTGAATACACATAGGAACACACACAAAACACACCTGCTGCCCTGCTTGCAGCCTAATTTTAAATTATCAGAAGGATATTTAATTTAAATTGAAGGTCAGCAGGAGCAGGGTCCCTTTCACTGCAGAGAAAGTCGYTCCCTAATCCATAGGTGGATCATCTCACTGAAGCCAAGCCTTTAAGCCTGACCAGCAGGAAGCTCCTGCACACACCTGCAAAGTTTCACCAAAGAGTTCACTATCTGTAAAACAAATTCCCAAACCAAGAGGCATTGCTGCCTTGTTTCCTAAATGACCACTGGAACAGCATCAATTAACTCAGAGATTTTCACTTACTCGTTGTGATGGTTTCATTTGCAGTGCTGACTGCAGCTGTTGTCTGCACTGACACTTGCAATGTTGTTGTTGGTGAAGTTGTTGTACTCACAGGTTCTGTTACTGCAAGAAAGGCATTCACATCATTATTGATTTATTTTATCATGCCTAAACAAACATCTCATTCCTCTAGCTTTATCCTCTTACCAAGGCAGTGAATTTCTGTTTAAAGGCTGGCCCTTGCAGAGCTTTATTACTTTACCCACACATTTTGAAAGACTATTCCAAGGGCATATGGCTGGTCTCAGAGGGGAGGTTTGGCATGTAAACAACCTTCAAGCTGCCTGCTGAAGGGTAGCAGCTGTACCTTCCAGCCAGCGCCTCCAGGAAAGGCACACAATGTTTGGGGGTTATACAGAGGTGCTTGGCGTGGCTTCCAAGGGAAGAAGTGAGAAAAAAGAAGCCTGGTGTGCATGGATGGGCTCACTGTGCTGCTGGACTGCCCCTCTGACTGACCAGCACTTTGCTGCATTGCTGTTTAGCAGGAGGGGGAGGTGTAAAATCTCCAGAAATAAGATTGAGTGACACACGGGAACACAGCTTATGGATCACAGGTAAAGAGCTGAAGGGGAAGAGACTCCACTATTCTTTGGGCAACTTTTCCCTCTTCCTGCTGCTTGTCCACCTCAAGCCATGTTCGACTCTTCTTCATTGGCCAGCCTTATAAGACACTCTTCCTCTGCACCCAGATTTCTGGGGAMAAAGGAGAACCCAGCAGGCCTTCCTCTTTGGACAAGAATAAACCTTAAGACATTGTGGATGATATGAATAGTATTCTTCAGTAAATTATATTGCTTGGGGTGAACTTGGTGCTCTTTGTAAGGTCAYTCCTACTTCTCTCCTCAAGGGGAGTGAGACTTGGAGGCTAAGGGAAGGGAAAAGGGCCCCTACAGGCAGCAGGGATCCCTTCCCAGCCACTGCTGCTATGGAGAGATGAGAGCAGAGCTGCCCAAACATCACTGAGGMAATAGCAAGGTTTAGATCACCTTGTGGTGCTGTGCATGGATGGCACATTGCAGGCTCATTAGTATCCCTAGTTATCAAAAATACAATTCTGTGTCCATGTTTTCTTCTCTCACATGTGTAACTTACTAAATGCATCACTCTTCAGTATCTAAAGACTAATAAAGGAGTTCACAGGAATGAAATGTAGTCAATATTGATTTTTCATACGTTATCATTGCAAAGCTGCACAATAAAGAGAACTGAAGGTGACAATCGAAGATGTAAACCAGAATCACAGACAACATCCGGAGCAGATCTTTTCTCTGTAAAATCTTCTTGAACTGTGGGTCTTTGGTATGTTATTAATCTCCTATTTCACTTGAACCAGTCCTTGAAAGTTCAGGAGCTCAAGGCACCTTTCGCTTCTGAAACGAAATCTTAGCCTGCTCAAATTAACTTTCTCTTAGTAAGATACTTCAATTTTTTTCTTTGCAACAGAGTGTCATAAGAAACTCAGGGAAATGAGTTGCTCTACAATCAGCCTGTATGAAATAATTCCCCTGATTTCTCCCAGAAGCTGGAAAAGCTGAAAACTAGAAAAACAACAGGAGCTTCAGAGCACCAGATAACAGTGAATYGGAACTCTTACCAGCTTTTGGTGTTACTGCAGTAGTGGTTGCATTGACAGCAGAGGCTGGAATGTCTTCTGAAAGAAACATAAAAATAATCACATTCATTCTGCACATTCCAGATCTATTTAACACTACACAGTCATATTAGCAGAGAGCAGCAAGGACCTCCCTGGAAAATCAAGTTCAGAAGCATAYTAGCAGAAGCAACCAAATCATATAACTCTGCTTCCAACATTTTYAAGCTGTATCCTAAATGTCTTCATTTTGCCCTGAACTGCTGTAATGGGGAGCATCTGCTGCTGCCTCCCACTTTGGACTGCATGTTGCTTTCCCACTGGTGTATCTCAGTCTAGTTGGGATTGGGGGGAAAATGGAGCCAATTAAAGATTTTTTTGCTATCTCCTCTTCTCCTTGAGTACAAMCACAGCTGCTCTGAGTCTTCAGGGTGGAGGATTAACTGAAATACCTGCCCACAGAAGGAAGCACCCATTCTCCTTCTTGAAGTTACAAAATTGTACTAGCTCCCCAACTAATACAGGCAMTTCAGGAGGGCTTTTCAGCATCACCCTGATCCTTATGTACAGGAARAAGAGAATTCACAAAATATGGTTTGAGAAGCACCACATTGATTAGTGACTGACTTTCCCCATTGTCCTCAATGCAGTGCTCCAGCTATTGGGATTTTACTGCAGTAAATGATTTAAAATGTCATGCTAGTCCGTGGCTCTTCAATACTACAAAACAAACCATCCAAAAAAGAAATTTCAACAAACAAAAAGTAAAATATTTTTTGTCTCTTCTTACTGTGCTAAAAGGTTGTAACAGCATAACTCAACAAGTGTTTTGGCTTCAAACAAGATTTTCAATCTTATTTCTCAGGTGTTCATATCTTTCTACTRAAAGAGTTTAGGGGGTGTTGAAGGGGGTGAAAAAGCTACGCTGACTAAGAAACAGCCATTTCTCGACCATTTTAGACTGCTGTTAGACAAATATGGGTACATTTGTGGAGGAATAGATCAACTCTGTAGCTGAATGGGAGAGGAAAATGGCAGAGGATAATCTCCTAGTGCTGTCAGGTTTGAAGCGTGACATCCTGTCAGGCTGCATTAGCATGCTGTAATACAGACATTCTAAACTGAGTCAGGACAGCATGTCAGTATTCTTGTGTGACTCCATTCATGGTAATATCTGCTGGCATTCTCTCTTTTTTTGGCTACAGGGCAGAACAGTCAGTTTTGTTCCCTTTGCTMAGCGTGCTGCTCTCCGATTAACATTTCACGAGCATCACCCGAGGCCGRCAAGAGCCACAGACCTAACCTGGAAAAAAATAATGCATAATACAATTGCAGGGGCCCTGCAGAAACATATTAAAGACTAATCAGATGAGCCCTTACAATTCCTCTTCCAGCAGTGTGTCATCAGCCCTCTTGGCACCTGCATGTTTCTAAAGTGTCTCAGCCCCTTCCCAGTGAGCCCCACTTTCTTGGCCATCTTTTCTAGGTGTGCTGTTGCCTTCATAATGCCTTGTCATAGCACATGCTGGCCCACTTTGGCATGGGCATATCCTATATAAAATTGAATGTGTTCCCCATGGGCCTGCTGCCATTCCAGYTTTGCTGCCCAGAACACGTGGACACAGCTATACCATGCACTGACTCGTGCACACTGCATTTAAAATCCAGGTTTTCTTGCCATTTACTTACCCAGTCACAGTAATGCTTCATAGCCCACTMTGGTAATACTKGGAAAACAAATTTTATCCCAAGAGYCCTAAAGGCAATCTCRTYTCCCTRAACAGCAAGCATTTTCCCATCTCTTCATTCTGATTATGTGCTGCTGACAAAGCTCCTGTAATCCCCCTCACCACAAGGCCACAGCACTGGAACAGAATGTTTTTTCAACAGTGCCTACATTTCATATGGTTTTGTTTTAACATRTCTCAGTAGCTACCATGTCTGTAACTCCAGCTAAATGTACTAGCTAGCCAATTAGCTTGTTCCCAAACTCACTCTTCCCAAAACTCTTCCTCTAACTCAGCATGACTTTGTAGAAAGCTCACTGCAGTTCTTAGATTATTCATCCTTTAAATGTGTTCCATTTAACAACCATGTTGATCGGCCAAGGCCAAAACTTAAAAAAAAAAAGTGAATATAAGTCACAGTTCTATTATGACTCACTATTTGTTGATTTTATCACAGGTTAGAGATGAACTAAGGTAAATTCAATTAACAGAGCACAATAGAGTTTTATGAATTAACTGTTTTCTTAAAATGGTGACTAATTGAGTATACTTTAAAAATGCTTAAAACTTGACAAGATTGTGGGGGGGAAATTGATTGATTAAAAAATTGATAGAACTGATGGCTTATTATGCTCTTATTTGCAATTATAAATAGTAACTAAGGTGAATCCTATGGGGGGATAAAAGCAAGAGATCAAAAATGATTGAGAATCGAATTTTCACCCAATTAGAGACTGCTGATAGACAAAGAGATGGACAGAAATCTTGATTTTTCTGCTCATGTCAGGTTGGCTGCAGCCTCAGATGACACTAAACTAAGTAAAGTTAGTATTGCATGTGTTTTAGCAAATTTGAATGMAGTAGTCCCTTTGATTTGAGAACACCTTGATGTACTCTGATATAGGAGTAGCCAAAATCTACTCAGCAATTGCTCCTGCACAGAAACCACTGCCATTTGCTGTGTTTGCTGGCAATAAACTCAACTAAAAGAGCACAGGTGACCTGTGATACAGCACCCTTGTGTCTGGAGAACACACATGGAGCTAAAAGGCTCTCAGACACAACCTTGGGCTAAGTAAACGGGAGGATGGTGGTGGTGGTAAAATCCAAAAAGAAAAAAACAACAACAAAAAAAAATGTCTTAAAGCAGCTAATAAGGTAAGAAGAAATCCAAACTGGAAGAAACAACAGGAGAGGAAGAAGAGAAGGGAAGGGCAGGAAGGCCTAGAGACAGTAAGACAGTCAGGGTGGCAGGAAAAGATAAGAAATTAAGAAGAGATCCAAGAACATGTGACACATGGCCACAAGACCAACTGAACAGAGAGTAACTGTTGTGGTTTAGGTTTTTTTGAGTTTTTGACCATGTTCMCAGAATTTCCATTTATTGTCTTTTCTAGCTTGGATTTAAATGGTATATTTGTTCTAAAATGAAAGCAAGAGTACATTCATTGGTCTTCAAATTTCAAAATGGCTGAACTGAAACAATGAACTCACTTTCTTCTTTTAAATTCAGAAGGAGTCCCTGAATTTAGACAGGGCTGACCAATGGCCACAGTTAGCTTGAAACTGCAGCTTTTGATGTAGGCTTCCATCTCTAAGACCTGAGCTTGGGGTTCTCATAACTTTTTATCTCTCTCTCATTATTTTTACCTTTACACCAGAAAAACAAACAGGTCTTGACCTTGTGTTAATTAGGTGCCTGTTATTGCTATACTTAGGACAGAAATACACTTTGCCAGATCCCGTCCCATTAACCAGTCTTTGCACACTGTTCCCCTGTGCTGAGAGSAAAACCATGTCTTAGGCACTGCTCAAATCCCACTCAAGCCTTCCAAACAGAACTGAAGTGTACCTGAGTACATCAGTTTAGGGATCAAACTTAAGGTTCAATTCCTGATGTAGAATTGGACTTTCTACATAGGCTTTCTGCCTGGTGAGGTTTAGCATTTGGGTGCTCTTGGCTTTTCCTCCTGAGCAATGTGCTGTAGTGGTCCAGACTGCACTTCCAGCCTAGGGAAGTGCTACAGTGCTCAGGAAACCCAGGCTCAGCTTCCTGCACAGYTTCAGGGTAAAATTCTGCCCAGACTCATATAAAGATGCTTTATGGTAGCTGCCTCTGATGGTTATGGCTGGCTTGTAAGGCCGTGGTGCTGGACAGTTCTCCAAGGATCTCCCTGATTTCCTGCATGCCACACTGCAGCACTGCTAGCATGAACTGTGTGTCAGCTTGTCAGTTTACAGCTCTCCCAGGTGTATCATCACAAATAAGATAAATGGCTATGAGCATGGAGCAGAGACTACTCACAGAATGGGTAAGGCTGGAAGCAACCTGGGCTCATCTGGTCCAGCCTCCCTGTATTCATAGGTTAGTCACTGGATGGCTAAAACCCACTAACTTATACCATGCAAATTATTTAGAAAACTAGCAAGCACTGAAAAAAAAAATCTTAAAGGAAGCACAGATGCTTCCAGATCACAAAAACTTTCATTTGAGATATACTGAAAGAAGAGGTTTAAATGCAATTTTAAGAGTGTTGTTTGAAACCATCAGCTCCTTCTTTGCTATTCGAAGATCACAAATAAAAAATCTATTAATGAAACACTCTAGAAATAAATTTTAAAGAAAATCTCTCCCCCCCCCAATAGTTTGTTCTGAAAGAATTAATTTTATAGAAGTAATACTGCTCATAGTGCATTTAATCCTTAAGGACTCGTACTTAAGATTTTTCGTCTATAGTCATATAAACTAGATTTTAAATGGGAATCAAGGTTCTGATGTAGTTCTGTGAATGGCTGAAGCTGATAACAGCGTGCAGAGAAGTATATTAAATTAAACAAAGCCCTTTGCAAACTTCATGGATTTGAAGCAAACTCAAAAAATCCCCACAACCTTCATGTCTTTGTATTTATTGAGTATGTAAAGCAATGCACAGAATGTGGCRTGCCTCACAKGCACTCAGATGTGTCTGCAACAGGWCCTGCACACAACTGCTCAGGCTGTCACAGCACTCAGTGAAAGGAAATCTGTGACCCCAGGAGCCATGCTGGGTCACTGCCACTTCACCGTCATCAAAAGTCAGAATTGCAAAGCGTTTTTCAGTCTGGTCTCACAATGGTTTTGCACAGCTGCAGAAGTTCTTAACACAGCCTCCTGCAACATAAGCCATTTTCCACCTCAGGATTTCTCTGCTGTGAATGTCTTGCACTGGCAACTGGAAGGACAATGCAGCCCTGAGCCAGGTTACAGTGGCCATGTTTAGGGTGAATATCTGTGAGGTGTATTTAGGTACCACAGGCAATGTTAAAAGCCATAAGGAAGGGAGAAAGGCCATA